CTGCCTAGCAGGGCCACCAAACGTACACATTCAGATCAGTAATATCTAGTTTCAAAGCAATAAGGTCAACTGTAAACTACAAGATAGTGAGAATTTTGTAATGTCTTTTATTATTATATATAGATTGCAACATGGACTGCTTTCTTTATGTTTGATCAATAGAATTTAGATAAATGAAACAGTTTTTAGACCTACCATCACTTACATGCTGTAAATAGAAAATATTAATATTACAGGCACAAGCCCTAAAATTCCCTCAAGGCAAACATACAGTCATGTTGAACCTTAGGTTACAGTAAGATTTAAAAAAATAATAATACAACTTTTAATATAAGGTTTCAAGTGTAAGTATCACTTTCACAGTTTTTCATACTTGCTTATGTTTTTATTAGGCATTCTACTATAAGTTTTTATTTTTCATGCTCCTGCACAAATAATTCAGTAATAACTACAGAGTACATTAAGTGTGTATTTTGCAGAGGTGAAAAGCTATAATGTTCTTGTAAAATATAAGATGGAGTGTGATGTTATTTGTAATTTTTGTTGTAATTTTCCTTCTGTGATCCAAGGCTGTGATGTGGGACACAAAAGGGAATAAAATTCCAAAGATAGCCATCTAGAGCATCTGGAATTAGTGTATTCTATGGCGTATTTTCCTTACTTAATCTAGTAACTTTGGCACCTTGCCCTTGTTGCAACTAATTATTTCATAACCCATGAAATGTGTTAACTAAAAATAATCTCTATTTTCAGGATCAAGTAGAAAAAAAAATTGCTAGCATGGTGGAATGCAAAGAATTCTCTAAGGGGATATTTCAGCTGGAATGGGAGCACAAGAAAATGAGAATGCAAATAGAAGATCTGAATCAGAAAGCTCGGGATATTGCAACATTACCTATTACCAAAGATCGCCAGCTAGTGAGTTATTTTCTCTAAGTTACATTTTGACCACAGTGAATTTTGTTGCACAAAGCTTTTATCTATTAATTTGGTGGGTTGGTACCCTGAAAGGATGAATGTTGAATCTACAGAAATCTGTCTACTGCCTATTTTTGACTGCCCTCTGTGCTTAGATAACCTTATAAATAAAAGTATAGTTTGGTGTTTTGCTGTTGCTTTAAAAACAAACAAACAAACAACAAAAAAACACAATTTGTTCAGTCTTTGTTTGCATTAAATCATAGAAATCATGCTTTTTAACAGCTGTATGGTATAGTATTCCTGCAGCATCAAAACCTGTCTTTAAAATGTCCATTTATGATGACAAGTAAGGTATTTTACTGCAGAAAAGTACACTGAGGTTTTTTTTTTTTTTTTTTTTTTTAATTTCACAATTTAACAAACAGGCTTGACAAGCTGATTTACTTGTTTTTAATTCTCAGTTCCTAACCATGCTGGACTATGATAGCCACATTGCCCACCGCATCGCAGTGATGGAGCAGACTCTTTGTGTCATGGATAAGGTGAACCACCTCCTTTCACAGATATATCCTAACTGTTCGGCGCTAGGAAAAATGCTTTTAAAGAATAATGGTAACTGATGTAGCCATACTAAACTCTTCAGCTAGCTCAAGGACTGTTGAAGTGTAACCACAACAGTACACACAGATGAATATATGAGGGCTGATGAAGACATGAAAACAGTGCTTCCTATGTTATTGTTAGTCCATGATGTCAGAGGTGGATGTTGGTGGAATGGCTGTAGAGGCTGAACCTTCCTACCAATATTTTGCTATGTGTTGTTGCCATGGGACAGATGGCAGCAGAGGGGCAGTCTGACAGATTGGCATCTGACAGGGAAGCAAAGGTATGTCATTGAATTCTTTCATGTGCAGAAGAATGGCACCCACTGACAGTCATTGATGCTTGCTGAATGTTGATGGAGTCCAAATAGTGGATGTGAGCACAGTGAAGTGGTGGGTGGTGTGTTTCAGTGGTGGCAGCAACAACAGTGGGTCACCTCATATGAGCATGGCATGCAGACTCTTGTTCATCACTGGTAAAAACGCACAGCTAATGGAGGTGAATTTGTTAAAGTGCATTGTAGCTGAGAATTTATCAAATAGTGCTGTTATGCTCTCTGCATCTGTTGAATTTCCATTACTTTTGGAGCAACCAGTGTGCAATAGCTATGTTGTTTATTTATCTGTCTTTCAATAGTTTCAACTTGCCCCGAGCCATCATAGCAGCACTGTAGCCAGTAGCCAGCTAAAAAACTCTGAAGTCTTTGGAAGCAGTTGGGCATGAATCTACTTTGTTCCTAGAATTAAATGTCTTCCTTCTTGAAAATTTGAATGCAGACCTTCTTAACACTTCTTACAAATCACTGTCCATAAAAGTCACTATTCTATTCTCTAATGAAGTCTTGTTTCAAATCTTCACTGCTTAATGTTTCTCTCTAGCAGCAAGTCTGTTCGTAGTATCACTGCCTTCCTATATTCAAAATAACAGAGACACAATTAGTTCCTTACCTATTTTAACATTTTATGGCTATTCTTGTTTTTAAGGGATTCCACTGGATTTTCTGCAGCTTACTGTAAATGACATCAGCTGCCATTTTCTCTAAGTTCCTCTTCAATCTTCAGTATTGACTTTATCTCTTTGCAGCCCTTCAGATGTCTTCAGCACAGCAGCCCTACCTCCTGTAGCATCTGGCAGCCAAAGAGAACTTTCAATGCACTGGTTTCATTGACTTCCTTTTCCTGCTTTGCCTGTTCTGTAGTTAATCTTTCTTCTTGACCCATGCATTTTTCTTGTCTGCTACTTCTATTTAAACACTCTAAAGCATACTGAAATAGTGTGAAAGTAAAGCTAGAATGTGCTACTGGTCAGATCCAAATACATGGAAATAAACAGAGCTAATATGCAGTGTTGAAGACTATAGGCTTTCATCCAAAGTTTGAACAGCTTTCATATAATCTCATGTATTTGTTTTATTCATTTGGAAATGCACAGCTGCACAAGAAGAATATGAAAAAACATCAGAAGAGAATTAAAGAGTTGGAGAAGTGCATCAGTTTAAAAGAGCAAGCAAACTATGAGCTGAGCCTTGAGCTGAAGGAAATGCTCGTGTCTGTTTCAGAAAGGAGGCATATCTATCATGCAGCTGGTGAGTTGCAGTAATGCACTTTAAGTCACAAAGAACATTCAGAAAGTATCTCCAACATTACAGTCCTGTTCTCCGTCAGCATCCTAAAGGGCAAGAAATGTTTATTTACTATTTCACATGCATAATTAGCAGTACTACTTCTACCACGACAATCTTAACATTGTTTACGTAAGAACATTCCTGCAGATGGATACTGTTGTAAAGTCAAAATATTACAGCCATTAATATCTTCATTATACAACAGACCTTTATTTGTAAGACTGTCCAACACACTTCTTTTCACATACTTAAATGAACAGAGGAACTAAGAAGGATATCCCTTATTAGGAAAGCTATATAGTTCTTCCAAATGTCAAATGATTAATTTCACAGCATTGGGTATTTGTTAAAAAATAAAGGAAGTGCAGCCAGTGCCTTTTAAACTTTTTTTGCTTTATTCACTACTATAAAGACCATTAAACCCAACTGCGAGCCTTTTTGAAAAATGTGTGCTGCTTTTATACAGAAATTGGAATGACCCTTGAGCAAGTCCAGTACATTTGTAGACTATGCATCCACTTTAAGTCTAGGCTGACTCATATATTGTTTTATGCAGACATGCAGCATATTTCTGAAAGGAATGCAAAGCGGCGTTACCAGGAGATTTTGAAGCAGAAACATCTGCGAGGTCTCATAGAGGAACAGGAAAAACACCTTGGAATTCTTCAAGCAGAAGCTGAAAGATTAAGATCGAAAACGTTCCCTATTCTTTAAAAATCCCAATCCTGGTAGATATACAAGAATATGAATTTGGAAATCTACCTTTTGTCTCTGCACTTGTCTTTCAGCAAATATTTTTTTCTGGTACCATCTCCTGTTCTTCTGTTTCTTCTCAAATAACAGCACTTTGAAGGATACATGTTTGTTTCATACATTTTGTACCTTGTCTTACCTACATTTTTTTTCTTTTGTGATGCATTTCTGCTCTTTTGATTATATAAACCATATAGCTTATTACAGAAAATAACTGAAAGATTATCTTGTAGGAATGATAGGAATACACCTATTTCCTTAGAATGCAGTTGTAGGATAGTGTGAAGTACTGCAAGAAAGCAGTAAATCTGCATCTGCCACTTGCTTCCCTTTTCCATGCTTCGTGTCAGTTTTTCTCTACCTTTAATAAATTCCCATAAAATCTAAAATTATTCCTCTGTGACAGTATTAATAGCTTTGATATCTTGATTCAGCAAAATCCTATACCTGTAATGAAATGTACTTCTGTTGTGACTGCATTACAAACACTTCTGCTTAATCGCCTCAGAGGATTTTAAAGGATTCTAAATACGTCTCCATTCTTCCTGCGTGCTTTTTTGCTTCTTGCTGAAACTTCCTTAGAAACAACAGAATTCCAAACTCGCTAAAGGTCTTAGGAAAAAGAACTGCCCCCAAAAGGAAGTCCCATCATCTTGTTTCAGTAAGTTAAAGAGGCAGAAGAAATGAATTATTAGTACCTAAAATGTGATCAGTAATAAATGTTGTTCTTCATTAATTCCCAGTGGGCAATGCCACTCGGTATTCCTCAAAGTAAACTGTGGCTACAAACTTCAATTTAATGAGCCCTAACAACATTAAAACAGACTATTTCATCTGTGTTTTTCTTTCCACTTCCCTTGGGGTATGGACAAAATTACTTCCTTATTAATGAGTAATTGCCACATATAAAGAAAGCAGTTAAACTACAGCAAATAAGGAATGGGGGTGTAGTTAAAAATATTTACAGCAGGAAGCATGGTAGATCAAGTACAGATCTATATACTGTTACAGTGGATAAAAGAAGGAAAACAAAAGGGGGTTGGACTTGATCTCTGGAGGTCCCTTCCAACCCCTACAATTCTGTGATTCTGTGAAAAGCAGACAAGTCACCACAATACATACATAGAAGTGAGAAAATAAGGAATTTCAAGTTGAAATAATAAGAGTAAAACATTTTGAGAAGACAGTGTTTATTGGAGAAGGAATGAAATGCTGGAGTTTTCTTTAGTGTTACTGCAGAAAGGTAAATGATGCTGTAATTGAAGAATCTTGGAGAGAGAATGCCTCAGCTCTCAAATGAGCCAGTACAGTAGACAGATGGCAGTTACATGTTTTTTTTTCTGTTACCAAAAGCTGTCAGAGTTCCTCTAAAAACAACTGTCTGGATGAGGGTCAGTGCCATTATGAGATACTTCCCTTAGATGTTCTTAATAGCTTTAATTATTGCTAATTGCAGTTCCAGAATATTAACACAAAAATTATCTTTACCTGACTTGCAAAATGATGTCATTAACTGGCAGCAGGAATAAGTTTGGAAGATGAGGATGTATCTATGAGCAAAGAACTGAACCCTTCTCCCCATCTAAACACCAACAGAAGTGACAGTTGATTTGAACTTGCATTCTGTCTTAAAACCATGAAGAGTAACAGGTACAAGGCAGACAGCTGTTTGATTAAAGTATTACTTGATTTCATTTTATTTAAAATAATCACTAACCAAGCTCTCTAGCCAGTTTTCCAAAAGTCTGCATAAATTCAGTTTTCACTATAAAGTAATGGTTTTTACAGCCTACCATGTTTCAGTATGCAGTTTCACAAGCTCTCATGAGAAACTCTCACCAAAACAAACTAAGAAGTGTTGATCAGACAATGGATTTTATCAGTCCATTCAGTCTTTTTTGCTGATGCATGTAATTGAAAGCTTTGCACCAGTAGGTTACGTGTCCACAAAATCTTCTTCTGTTCTGCTGTAGTGCAGTAAGTGGTCTTCCAATCCAAAAGTATCTATCAGCTGACTGAGACTCACTTTCTTGCCATCTGCAGAAAAGGCAGACTGCAGCTCATACAGCATCAGCTGGGTACTGCTTCTCCATTTTACTATCAAAGCCTGCAGTTCAGACAGGTTGTTCTAGAATTGGGATTAAGAAAAAAATAATCAGCAACATTTCTGCAAATGAAAAATGATTTTAGTACCCTGCAAATCTATTTTTATTAAATGGCTTAAACTGACCTAATATACAAACACTACACAATTACAATTAAATGTGGCTTAAATCAATAAGAAACAACACCATTCAATTTCACTTCAAAGAGTGATTTAGAAGGGCTTTCTAGAGGTCATCCTTACCTTAGATCGGTACATCTTGACCAGTTTGAGCCTTCGAAGTAGCTCTTCCTTATCTTTCACTTGTTTCATCAGCCTTACTTTTTCTTCTAGGGACTGCTGCTGACTAACATCAACCCTTACCACATTCTCTGCTGATTTGCAGAGATTGTTTTCCTTTAACGGACTTTTGAAATAAGTATTTACAGTGCAGTTTCTTTCCAGGCATTCAGAACCATCTTGTAATGTGGAACAATCCATGCCTGTCTTTGGCAGACACCCACTGTCAACATCTGCACAGTCTTTTTCTTCAGTATCTACCTTGAGCCGCTTTGCCACTGTAAAATTAGCATTAAATGAACGTCTCGTTTTCCTTAATCGTTCCCTTAGAGTTGCACTCATTGGCTAAAGAAAATGAAGAACAAGAAAAAAACACTCATCTCCAATCAAATTTCAAAGAACTTTTTATCCATACAGAACATGTGATTAGTAAAGACAACCATAAGACAGACTTCTGAATTGTCACCGTCTTTTGCAAACGTAAAAGTTAACCTCTTCCTTTCAGGTGTGTTTGCACACAGCAGCAATTTACTAAAAATATATATCTGTATTGCCTTGTTTATTTATATACGTGCGTGTGTATAATCCTTAAAGTAAACCCTCATTAATGCACTTAGTCTTTGTGCAAAGACACATGGCATATTTCAACTTGGCTATTTCCAGCTAGTTCCACTTCTCCTCTTGTTTAATGGAGATAAGGATTTTATTTTTTTCTTAACATTGCATCCTACCACACACACACTTCCTCTATTAGCACTAGTATAAAACATCTATATACTACTTAAGAGTATCTGTTAACTTGTTTTTAAGTGTTTGTTTTTAAGGGACTTAAAGGCATGAACAAGTCAAAACTATATACATAATTTTGACTTGTTCATGCCTTTAAGTCCCTTAAAAACAACTTAACAAATGTATTTATAATTTCTAACGTTTTTATCCATGGAAAAATCCTAAAGCACAGGAAAGGATTAGTTAAGGGACATTTGCAATTTAGGCTCAGTTTAGGCATAGTTCCAGTTTACACTGATATGCACTATGGCAAGTCTGAGTGCTTCACTATAGTGCGTGGGAGGAGAAACACCAAAGCAGAGAGTACTATTTTCAAATGCAAGTAGAAGTCACAGGAGGTCACTTTACATATATGGGAACCAAGAAAAGTAGGACCTTTAAGTTTCTATACCTGTTTTCCTGAAGTAGTCCTCTGTGGAGCTGCTGTCCCAGAATCCTTTGGTGTATGGCACAAAGACGTCAATTTATCACACGCTGCTTCCTCCATCTCAAGGCAGATAGCAGTTCCTGTTGAAAAACAAATTGGGTGCTGCTGTTCTCACCTGATTATAGCGAGCCATATGGCTGCAGAAATGAGTAAAAAGCTCTGGTAAGAAATACTAGGGTTTATTTTCTAATGGTTACGAACTGTTACAGAGGAGCAAGAGAACTTATGAACCACTTGGACTTAGTTTGCCTGTAAATCAAAGGTCAGATCCTACAACATCAAACTCATCAAAAACCCTTACTCCAAATAAACTGTATTTTCTTAACCTCAGCAATCCCTGCTGCGTGTCTGACTCAAAGGCACAACCTTTACAAAGCCAGGTTGTTCAGAACCAGTCCATTCATTGAAGGGCAGCCCGAGCAGCGATAAAGGATTGCTGGGAGCCACAAGATTTTTGTAGTCCATCTGTGTGATCAACCTTTTCCATTAAAAATAGTAACAGGGTACTCATGAAATAACCCACTGCCTCGTTTGATCCTTCTGGGGATGCTGCCACACAGCTGGAAGTGTAGAGTCCAAGTCCACATTCCCCGTATGCTCCTGAATGGAAGCGGCACACCTCTCAGCACGAGCCAACAGTACATTGATTTCAGCGTGACTTCGCACAGCGCTCGTGAGCCACCTGCTAACGACCGAGCTGCAGCCGCAGCCTCAGCTCACCTAAAAACTGTAACTAGGAACCTCAAAACGGAATTCCCTTTAAAATCCTGCAAGCAACCGCACTCCTCAGAGCTACGCTTGGCACGCCGGGCCGGCCCCTGGCGCTGCCTGCCCGCCCGCTTACGCGGCGGAACCGCGTTCGGCAGCTCCCCCCGAGGGGCCCTCCACCCTCTAGAGAAACCGAGGGAGGAGGAAGGCCGGGGTTCAGCAGCCCGAAGAGAAGAGGAACCCGCAGGAACCACCCGTCGCTGCGCCCCACGCCAAGCAAAACAATGCACGCAGCTCCTCACCGAGCCGAGCGACCCGCCGGCTGCGCTTCAATTTCCCGCTTCCGGGCAGTGGGCGGGGCGCGCGGGGCTGCGAGCGGGGAAAGGCGGAGTGAGGCTGGTGTGCGTGGTGCGGGAGGGCGCGTTAAGGTTGTGATCGGGCGGGCGGATGGAGGCCCGCATCCGCCGTGGAGGTGCTGGGCGGGGCCGGAGTTGTGGAATACCCAGTGCAGGATATCTACGTAGATCCTATACGCGCTTACCGCTGCAGCTGGGCTAGCTTGCTGCGTCTGCTAGGCCAGCATGGACACGCTGCCTTCTGGCCGAGGCCTTGATCGAGGCTGGCCGCCATCTTGCTACACGTACTCCTGCCTCAGGGAGAGGGGTCTCAACATGGCGCACTCCACGGCGCAGTGGTAGGCTGAAGTCTGACTGGGATTTCAGCACTGCCAAGGGAGCCGCGGCTCTGCTTTCCACAAAGCACCTTCTGCATCAGATGCTGTCTCCTCATAGAAGGGGAAAAGCTGCACGCTTCCCAGCAGACTTTCACGTTTCACAATACTGATCTGTATAGGATTTATTTATTCAGCACAGCTGTGCCAGGACTGAGGAAACGATCAAAAATGACCATAGTGGTGATTGCTCCCACTTGTATCAGGCCCTCTTGCTGCATTGGTCACAGCTGAGCACATGGAGCAGGCATACCTGCACAGAGCTTGTAGGTCGTGCTCTTTATTTCTGTAGCAGAATGGCAGCAATTTGTTGCCTGATTGCTCTGTACAGCCATAGAGGAGGATGCTGGGCTTCCATCTATGTGGAGACAAGATAGCACTGAGGTGAGTAAGCTCAGTATAGGAAACATTAGTTTGACCCTAGGCATGCTTGCTTATTTCAAATAGAATTTTATAGCGACAGTAGAGCCTTTTTCTCTCAGAACATTAACAGTAAAGGTATCAAAGCATTCACAACCCTTTTGTGAGTTGGTCTGGGAGATCGGAATACCATTAGATTATTGGACTGTGTGAAACAAATGTTTAGCCATGTGGAATATTAGTAAATATGTATTTACCAAATGTTTGAAGTTAGGTTATGTGATTAAACCATATGATCAGTTGTAACTGTGCAGCAAAAACACAACATAGTATCTCCCCTGTTGCTTGAGGCAGTTGTGAGGTGTTTTTAAACCTTGGTGTGGCCTGGTGCTTTTGATAGTTTATTACAGCTAAACGCATGTCATATATTTTAAAGTGTGTTAAAAAAAAAAAAAAGTGGACTTTTCAAGTGAAGTGGTGAAATTGCTCATGGAACTCCTACAAATGGATCAACTCAGTTGAATTTCAAATGCACTGGAGCTTTGAGACAACATGTCTCCAACTTCACAACATGTTTCCTTCTGTCTCAGGGATGGTCCCGTTTTAAATTACTCATGCTCTGTTGCACAGACACGCTAGCAGTTGAGTTGCACAAGAACAACAGAAAGCTTAAGATTTTAGATCGTTTGCCAGCTGAGATTCCAGTAAGATTTTACAAGAACATAACGCATGAAAAAGTCATCTCGTGTATTATCATTGCTGCCTTATTAGAGCAACGCCCATGTGCCCCACCCCAGGTAAGGATTCCAGTGAGCTTGAAACTGTAAATATTGAAGGATGGCTCCACATGTAAGGTTCATGTATTTAACGTAATGCAGAGAGGAGAGTAAAGGAAACTATTATCAGTGTTTACTGATAGGTAATGGCTCTAGGAGGAGGTTCTGCTTGAGATTAGTGTTAAGTGTTCAGCTGTGTGCACCAAGTTTTTATATGGATTTACTTTGTGCTTACATGCGTGAGCAGTCTTGCAAAAGCACGTGACTGGTTGAGGCATTGGGCAGGAGGCCTGGGACTGCGCTGGGAGCTGGAATCATCTCAGTCTCTGTCCAGAACTTTTATTGCAGAAATGCAGTAGTATTTGATACTGTGTTATCCACATCTTAACAACGGCAAACAGAAGTCAGACCAACATCTTCCTCTCAAAAAGGAAAAAGAAATTATCTATGTGTTACCATACCAGCACGTCTATGGCACGCTGTAGAGCATTTTGCAACAGTTCAGTTAAGCTCACCAATATGTGCATACAGTTAAGCATTATAATAGCTGTTGTTTGATTACTTTTTATTCATTATGTGGTCAAAATAGTTTGAGTTATGCAAAATTAAAGAAAAAAATTATAGGAAATTGAGCACTGGGTAATATAGTTATTGAGATGTGTTTGCTGAGCATACCTTCAGAGGAAAGCAGAGAAACTTGTTTCCATGAAAGACATCCCTGAAAGCTTACTACTTGGTTTTATTTGTTTTTCCAGTGATGAGGCTTTATTGATTGGATTTTTTCAGTTTACACCAGTTGAATGGCAGACAACTCAGCTATACAAGTGCTCTCTTTTTAAGGTCTCTTTCATTAACGTTACATTTCTAGAGGAGCAGTAGTGCTTAAACATCAGTGCTAACATGACAAGAACATGTTATGGGCTCCTGTGGCATTATCTATTGTAGCACATCCAAGTGGAGAGAAACAGTGAAGGATACTGGCTCTGGGTTGACCTTTACAGATTCTTCTCTTCCAGAGCACCAGAAATGTTTTTAGAGTGCCAGAACTTCCATTGAACAGCTTGTTGGGCGCAACAGTTGTGCTGCTTCTCTCTAAGCATTGCCAATGAGTAACGGAGATGTTAGCCAACATACTAAGTCTTGAGGCACTTATACATTGTTCCCTTTTCTTATTTTTTTGAAATCTATTGATCTTGCTTAAAGCCAAATGATATATCCTGACGCATGAAGTATTCTGCACTGTCTACATGTTTTCTCTTGCCTAAGGCAGCAGGGTGGAGTGTTTTTGTGCATCCAACCACTAACTGCTGCAGAAATTTTTCAGTTCCCACCCACTTCAGCATAGGCCTTGGGCTGTGTTTTTACTGGCTGCAATTCACTCCTCAAAAATGTTCTGACTTGTTTATAGCTGTTTAAATATTTTAAAGGAATGGCTGCTAGATTCCCGGAGTAAAACCAGTTCAGACTGCAATAGAATTTGACCTTGAGATATAGATTCTGCACTTGTAATGCTGTAAATGTCCAGTAGTTACACTGAAGTCACTAGTTATCTATCACTATGTTATCAGCATAAAGCTAAAGCAAGAGCAGAATCGTGCTGCCTTTTCTGCTGTGCAATTTGGGGCTTGCTTGGACAACCCCTTATTTTTTCCTTCAATTTTCAAGGTACCTGTCTTGAAAGGAAAAACTGAATTAATTTATTGTAGCTGAGAGGTACTGCAATTTGCCAGTACAAATGATAATAATATAAGTGCCAATTGAGTTGGTCTTCCAGTTCTTGCTGCTGCATGCGAGAATAACCAAGTGGGTGAGGCACAGAGCTAATAAAAGGGAACAACATAAGAACGTCTTTTATTTTCATTTCGTATGTGGGATTTTCTCTGACGCAGTCCTGCCAAAAATTATAGTGTTTGAAGTCTTTATGAGACTAGCAGGCAGTGAAAGGAAACAATAAACAGACCTTCAGTCTACTTGTCTTTGGTGGAGAACTGAATGGTCATTATTTTAAGAAAATTTAAGCCTTTTGAATCTAAACCTATGCCCAGACTAGTACCTGGTACAGCTTTTTGTTGTGTGCGGTGCTCTAATCATATTTTTGTGTTAAAGGTATTAGAGGTTGTTTTTCTAAAGGAACATGCAGCTCTCTGCCCTGTAATGCTTGCTCAAGGTAGTTGTTAAATTGGGCTTGCTTACATCCTGGTGTAGAAAGTCTGTTTCAACTTTTAGAATGAGATTGGAGAGAAGTTCTTGGAGAAATTGTGGGTGAAATCTGGCTTGGTCTTGGTGTCTTAATGTTCCATGTCTTCAAGTAACAGAAGCTGTTACTGTGGAAAAGTAGACTCCTTGGTGTTTGGCAGAACACAATCTTCTCTGAGAGAGACGGGCATCGCTCAGTTGAGCAGGGTCATTAGGAGCTTGGCTGAGGCATAGTAAAGCCAAAGTTCAGAAACTGGTAATGTCTTTCTCTTTACCTACTGCGTTGCGTGCAGTGTTACACTGAGTGTATTTGCATGACGTGGGTTGTAGTGGAGATTGAAGAGTTGCTTCTTTTTCTGACATCCTTGTACATAAGTTCATTTCACGCTGTAACCTGATAACATTTACCTGTGCTACTGACTGGTGAAACTAAAAGTTCGGACGTGGCTTGATTGCAAGTGTAGATGGAGATAATTTGAGGGCTGTTACCCATAGACTGCAGGACTACAGGTAACATGCACTACCCAGTGGGTGCTGTGCTGGTATGCCAATCAAATGCTGCAGCAAGCAGGTAAGAACACATGGAGATGCACACCTTACATTCTTCCTGAACTCCTGGGGTCTCACTGTGGCTCTGAAGGTAGACATCAGTGATTCTTGTCTGTTACCACTTCACCAAACCTCGCTGTGGTTTGTTTTAGAAAAATATCCATAATACTGAGCCACACCTCATTCCCTCCCAGACTGCTGTGTCAGCATGCAGGATCTGAAAATACACTTCCTCCATGTTACTAAGAAACAAAATAACTCACTTACCTGAGGCTACAGAAACCCTTATGAAGTAAAAACTTAGAGGTGTTTTCTTAAGGATGAAATATGAATGAGGCATACAGAGAATTTTGCATCTTTGGATACTGGTGACAGTAAAGTGCCATTTAATTAGCTGAGGTTTCAGAGTGGCAGTGCTGTCAAATACATAACTATGCTTATACTGCAGACAGGCTCAGAATCCAAAATACTTGTGGGAGAACTGGTTGAAAGGGTTTTTGTTTTGTTTTGTTTTCCTGTTAATAACTTACTTAATAATTGAAGTATTATTATTGATGTAATTGATGGGGTATGGCTGTTTATTATTTGTGCAAACAAAATCCTTTCTGAGCACAGCCAGATTAGGAAAAGCATCAGCAATTGTGAAAACGTAGGAAACACACTTTTTAATATAAAGATTGAAGCAAATTCTTAAAAGTCAAAAGCTTTAAGGTACTTACAGACAGCGAGAACTAAATAAATACTTGTTTGTCAGTCATTCCTTCAAAATGCTCAGCTGTGAGGAAGCAACAAGAATGTTTCTGTCCCATTCTGTTCAGCATGAAATACGTGTGCTGAGACTTTTTGGCTGTCCTAAGTTTCTTGAGTAAAATACATGGTCTGTGTCAGCTATTGGTTCTTCTCAAACTGTTTATTTCAGTGTTTGTGAGCTAACTGTAATGATTTTGTTCTGGTTATTTACAAAGTAATTTCAGTGCCAATTTCCTTTTTGTGTTTATGTCTGAAATAACTCTATGTTGAACTCCTTTCTCCATGTAGGTATATGGAAGGAGCTTTACTAGAGATTTATAGACATTGTACTAATTTCATACTATATGAACGGGTTGGATTTAGTCTTTGTGACACTTGAGGCCATGGTGAAACCTCCTCCTGACCTGAAATGTAGCTGTAGGTGTCCCTGTTCATTGCAGGGGAGTTGGGCTAGCTGACCTTTAAAGGTCCCATCCGACCCGTGATTCTGTGAAGTGGAGCAGAACTGGCCTCATGTTGAATGTCTGCAGAAGTGGGTTTTTGCAAGGCTGTTTGTTGTCCTCGTGGAAGTTAGCAGAAGTGTGTCAGGTGGGGTCAGCTAACAGCACTGTTTCATGTGGTGTTGAGATACTTCAAGTGCTGCTGATTGTATCAGTGTAATGTGGAAGAGTGCAACCAGTCCCCTCTGCATGTCTGTGTGGAGATCATTTGTCCAGGAGAACTGAAATGATACT